AAAAAAAAAAAAAGCTTACTTGAAATCATGAAATAGAATCCAGATTTTTAAAGTGCATCAGAAGCAAACTCAGAGATTAAAAAATAAAACAAGAAGTATAGAGCACATAAATATACAGTGTAATGAATTAGGGTAAAGTCAGAACCCATGTATTATAGTAATTGCCAGTATCTCAGAAGGCCACCATGGTTTCCTCCTTTACCACAGCACCTTCCCAATTTCATGGTAAACATTTTCTTTTCTCTATAATTTCACTCCCTAAGTTGTAACTCATAAGCCAAGTAGTTTCATTTTGCCTGTTTTACAGGTATATATACATAGAAAGATTAAGCATCAACTGTGGCACAGTTTTGCCTGTATATGCATGCTGTCTCCTCAACAGATTATCAACTTCTTAGAGGTAGGGCACGTTTATGTTTTATGTCTGAATATATCTTTGTATCTGAGATAATGCCTTGAACACAGTAACAATTCAGTACCTGTTTCTTGACTGGCACTTCAGCACAATTCTGAGTATATGATACCGTACACCTGTGTGTAAAACATCAACCTTGAATCCCTATGCCTTCTCTATGGGAGAGTTTCAATGGCCAGTTTAATACAGTGTCAACCAAATAACTAACCAACCAAAATATATCTCCTGAATGCCTATTATGTACAGGGATCTATGCTGCATTGTGCAAGGCACAAAGGGAATATACAATATTCATGCTCTCATAGAGCCTACCCTCTTATTCAGGAAGCAAGCTGTATCTATATGGAGATGGAAAGTTTACTGTGGTCCATCTGTAGTGATATATGTACCTGTGTTTACATATATCTTTATAAATGTGTAAATTTTTGGACACATTTGTACATGTAAGGAAATGTGCATTTTTGTGTTTCTCTATGTCTTGCTAATATTGTGTGCACCAGATTATATTTGTAAATATGTCCTCGTGTATGTGCCCACAAAAATGTGTATGTATTTAGAGTCTATGACTCTGTATCTGTGTTTCTATCTATATGCTATTTTTTCTAAATTTATTAAATATTACATTTCTGTCTTTTAATTTATGTACAAGCATATTTCTCTTCAAGAGAATCTGTTTGAATGGAGGCTGGGAAAGTAGGATGGAAAATAGCCATTATATTTTAATTAGGAAGGTTGGGAATTAAAATGATGGATGATATTTGAATCTGTGGATCCAAAGCTGGGTACATTTTTTTACATAAGTGATTCTTAAATCAGGCTAAAACGGCTATCTTAACCCTTTCTTGCCCTTGCTGGACAGAGCAGATGTTTTCTGGGATCATTCCCATTTAGAAGATATCTTCCTAAGCAGCTTTTTACCAGCTTCTTCCTTTCTCTGCTTTTGTGTGTAGCAGCTCCTCTGTTCCATTTCTTCTTATTCTCACCCCTAGTTATTCTTCCCATCCCCAGCTGGTTCTTCCTTAGTGATATTAGGGAGGAGATGGCAAGTTCTGATTTGCCAATAATTTCTAAATCTCAGTAACTCTTTTTGAAGAAAAATATGTTAAGTTGGTAGGAAGCTAGAAGCTGGTCACCAACTTCTGAATTTACATCTTCAGCCAAAATCTCTCTTCTAAATTACATCTTCTAGATCCACATACGAAACAATACCTCTGCTTAGATGTCCCAAACTAAATACGAATTGATTATAAATTGATTTCCTGATTCCTTTCCTGCCCCTAAGCTTATTCCTCTCTCAACTTACCTACCTCAGAAAATAATACCAACATCTACCAGTTGCTTATGCCCAACACTGGACGTAATACAATTTCCTGTCTCTCACTCTGGCCTTCATGACTTCAACAGCTCCTTCCTGGCCTCCTGGTCCCCCTCTGTCCTCCCTCCAGCCTGTGATCCACACAGCAAGTGGAGTAACTGGCTTAAAATATGTCTCTGGGCCCTATTTGTTTCCTTCATGGAACTCATTGCATTTTCTTAGTCTATGCACATGTGCGTATTATATGTTATTTAAGCTTTAGGAGAGAAGATATCGTGTCTGGGTTTTTCCCCTAAAGTTTCCCACAGTGTCTTTGTAGAGTGCCTGGCATACAGTAGGAACCCAATGTACAAACAAAAGCCAAATGCTATTTTATGTCATGAGCTTCCTTTGGTTTGACTTGGCTCCTTCTAGGCAGCCTCCATACACCCAGCTGCCCCTACTTGCCTCCTTAAATATCTGGTCTTCCTTCTGCAGGCGCTGTTTCTCTACCTGGCGCCGACCACTCTCTTCCGCCTCTCGTACCCGCCGCTGGCGCTCGGCCAGCATGACAAAAGCATGGATCCTCCTCTCCTCCTGCAGTCTCACCAGCTCTTTGGACAGGAAGTCAAACATGTCTGCCAGTGCCCTTCCTTCCAGTCCAGCCAAATGATTTTCAACCAGTGACACCTTGAAAATAATAACATAACTTTAAGGATACAAATTCCACTATCAGTGGTGACTATTAGAAGAGGTGCTAGATTACTCAACTCTTGGCAGTCAATTCACTTTCAGAATGCATTTAATTTTTATTGGGAATATTACCTCTTGATTGGCTTTATCTCAGGTTCTTATGAGGAAAACTGAGGCACCAGAGAGTCAATTGTTTAGTCAGTCACTGATGAAACACAGCCCTCAAATGAGCCAGAGGATTTAGCAAGACATTTCCGTTAGTGACCATGGAGAATGGTTTTTTTTTCCTAATCCATAAGGTAAAGGGCATCTTCCCAGACATGAAGGGAAATGTCAAGTTTTTATTAAAGATAATATTGGAATTCCAAATGGAATCTCCTAGAAATTCACTCATGATACCCCTTAATTTTTCAGAATCTTTCCTTTCACACAAGTTTGGAATTAAGATGTTGAACAACATGAAAGTAGAAAACCTTGGTACTTTTTAGTCTTTTAATAACTTTGAAATCATTAACAACCATCTTTGAAATAGCAGAGGAATGGCCGGGCATGCTGGCTCAGGCCTGTAATCCCAGCACTTTGGGAGGCTGAGGAGGGTGGATCGCCTGAGGTCAGGAGTTTGAGACCAGCCTGGCCAATATGGCGAAACCCCCATCTCTACTAAAAATATGAAAATTAGCCAGCTATGGTGGCGCATGCCTGTAGTCCCAGCTCAGGAGACTGAGGCAGGAGAATCACTTGAACCCAGGAGGCAGAGGTTGCAGTGCGTTGAGACTGTGCCATAGCACTTCAGCCTGGGAGATAGAGAGAAATTCCATCTCAAAAAAAAAAAAAAAAAAAAAAAAAAAAAAAAAAAAAAAAAAAAAAAAAAAAAAAAAAAAAAAAAGAATGCTGACAGAGTGATGGGATTATGAGGCTGTTTATTTTTCAACATTTCATTAATTTTTATAATGTTGCTTTGCAATGATAAAAATCAAGGGAGAAAATTTAACAAGAAAGTAACAAGAAAAAAAGGAAAACCTTGTGTTCATGCAAGTTCCTCTTCTGCTGTGAGTTCAGGGTCACTTGCTTCTCAGCATTTTTCACCAGCTTTTCATCTTCTTGTAGTGCGTGGCAGGTGCGTAACTCCTGGATCAACTCCAGTCGTTTTTCTTTCCCTTCAAACATCTGTATCAAATCAAACGGAGACTGGCAAGTTACCATCCCTTTGTGCCAAGCACTAGGAGTCGCATGCAGTGACTTGTGAGACACTTGTGAACAGTGGGTTCCACCCTGCCTTTTGGGTTCTGTAGAGCAGATGTGTCCCACAGAGCTAGAGTTCAGCCCTCTTTTTTATGCCTTCAGCTTCTCAGGCAGAGAATGGGCTTAGGTTTCAGTGAGCTGTACTCAGTTTCTGAGAATGCTCTTAAAGACAAGATGATAACACTAGGGTCATATTAAAAAACCAGAACCTTCCCCTCATTTCCTGTGCTCCTTCTCTAATAAACCTCAAGATGGCATTTTTCGTGGCCATATTTTCTTTTTCTTTTCCAATAAATCTGCTCCTGGTTTGTAATACTCAATCTGTTGTCTGACTTTAACCATGGTGCTTCTCTTGGGGAAATACTGAAAGAAGGGTAAAGAACAGTGCTAAACACAAGTTGTTCACCCAGCTGACTTACTCATCATATCTGAATCTCTTACAAGTTACAGCTGTCTGGGGGAAAAAAAAACTAACTTCCCAACTGTAACGACTTAGCCAGATTATTTTTATTATGACTGTGGAAAATTAGTGAATCTACCTGGTTTGTAATGCTTACATAGCCAAAATTCAGGTAAGAAAATGTATGGATTTAACAATTCCAAGAAAAGTGAGTTTCATACTGCCTTAATTACAACCATGGCAAATAGCCCATAGGTCCTTCTGTCTCTCTCCTTGATACTGTGCCACCCACCCAGATAAACAATGCCACTACAAGAAAATGGGTCACCAGAAGGATGGGTAGGCAATTCAAGAGTTTAGCTGAATAGAATAGCAGGGTGCAAAAGGGAATTCACTCCAAGGAACCAAGCAGATAGGCATTCTAAAAAAATTATTCTCAAAAGAGAAACACAGGGCCAGCAGTTGGACCTACACACCATGTTTTGAACGACTCTGCCCCGGAGTAACTTTTGAAGGTAGATCACAGCCATTTCTATTTCTTCTTCTTCCTAAAAGAACAAAGGGAGAACCATGCAGCTTCAGAACTGCAGTAGTCCAAGCATCAAATATTCTTTCGAAGACTTATTTCAAGCAAAAGAGACTGTGCTAGATGCCAGAAGGATTTAAAGAGAAATAAAACATGGTCCCTGCCCTTATTGAACATACAGTATTTTAATGTTACTTACCATAAAATTCATTATTTTTTATTAACAAATCATATTACAAGCAAAAAATTCACTCCCTGCCATGCTATCCCTACAAATGAAGCCACTTTCATTTACCTATATTCCTTTCCACAAAAATCTTTTTTGAAGCAACAAGTATTGCTTATAACATCATTTTGCAATAAGATTTTCATGTTTTATCATCAATAGACAAAAATACACCTAGCGTATGCCAGAGTAAGGTAATTCTCATGAGAATTTAGCTATGCTGATAAAATCAGAATATAAGAAACAAGATTAGCTATCTACAAAAATCATCTTAAAAACTATGTGTCCAAAGCAGAAAAAGCAGGATCTGGGAATCTAATTAAGGTATCTTTGAATGTAAAAAGAAAACAGTAGTCTAATCGATGGTATTAACACACATGAAAGACAATGTGTCAGGCTGGGCACAGTGGCTCATGCCTGTAATCCTAGCACTTTAGGAGGCCAAGACAGGAGGATCCCTGAGGTCAGGAGTTTGAGACCGGCCTGCCCAACATGGCGAAACTCAGTCTCTGTTAAAACTACAAAAATTAGCTGGGTGTGGTGACACACGTCTGTACTCCCAGCTACCCAAGAAGCTAAGGCGGGAGAATCACTTGAACCCAGGAGGCAGAGGTTGCCATGAGCCAAGATTATGCCACTGCACTCCAGCCTGGATGACAGAGCGAGACTCTGTCTCACACACACACAAAAAAAGATAATATGTCAACCAAAGGCCCACACAAAGTCTAGAAAAGAGAATGTTATCCAGCAGTGCACATCCCAGCTTGCTGGTGGGAGCTTTCTGGTCCCTCTGCAAGAGCTACTCATCAGAGGTAGTAACAGGTGTTAGTGTGGTCTCCCACCAACACCTGCCCTCAGCCAAGAAACACATCAGCCTTCTGAATATAGTTTGGCTTCTTGTGAGGACTGTCCTATACTGGCAGATAATGTGCTGACCAGCCAAGAGGAACAGCCTGATCTAGTAGGCAGTTACAGTTCTCTCTGTAAAGTAATACATTTGCATCATGGCATCTCTAACAGGTTCCTGTGGGTTTGTTTTGTCTGAGTCAGTCCTCTAAATCCTAAGCAACTCTGCTACCTTGCTCAAATTGAGTCTGGTGAGATGTGGCCCTAATCAGGGCCCTTTGAGCCATTCCCACCCCAGAAGCAAGCCTGTCTTGATGACATCTCTGGCATTTTGTTCCTCTTCAACTCCAATAGTCATTGGCCATCTCTCCATGTGGGAAAATAGTTGTGGTAACTGAGCATCATTCAATCTTCTCTTTCTATTTCATACACATGAGCATTACCTTCTGACGCTGATTTTTCATAGAAAGATTTTTAAATTGTGTTTTTATTTTCAAAAAGGACTGGGTTTATTTCATTTCATTTCATTTGTTTTTGTGTGTGTTTGATGTTTGATACATAAGAATGAAGACAACATTTAAGTCAGAGCTTGGGGAACTAACACTGCAAAATTAGACTTACTTTAAGTTAAACTATCCTACAAATAAACTGACAATGATATTGAATTTAGCATTTCAACTAAAAAGTTTCAAACTTACGTTGGAAGTCATTTCCAAGGTTGGAGTTGGAAGCCGAGGTTGAGGTACTGGGTTTCTTTGAAGGAAACGAGGGGGTTTCTTTGCTTCAAGAATTTTATTCTTCTTATCCAACAGTGCCTGAAATAATGCCAATTAATGTCATCTCTTACCTTTTTTTTTTACAAAAATTTGTATAAATTTAAGGAGTAAAGTGCAGTTTTTTACATGAATATATTGCATAGTGGTGAAATCTAGGCTTTTTTCCCAAATCCATCACCTGAATAATGTACACTGTACTCTATATTTTCCTTTATTACCAGATCTAGGTCATAGATATGAATATCAATCAGAATATTAATATTCTCTATGGTAATGTTGGGTCAGTTTGAGAAATACTAACAGAAATGTGTATATCTCCCAACAGGTGCTATGATATTCCTAAAAATGTGTTAACCAACCAGCCTGATCAACATGGAGAAACCTTGTCTCTACTAAAAATACAAAATTAGCCGGGCATGGTGGCACATGCCTGTAATCAGCTACTCAGGAGGCTGAGGCAGGAGAATTGCTTGTACCCAGGGGGCAGAGGTTGCGGTGAGCAGAGATCAACCATTGCACTCCAGCCTGGGCACAAGAGCAAAACTCCATCGCAAAAAAAAAAAAAAAAAAAAAAAAAGAAAATATGTTGACCACTGACTAAACATGGTTATATTCTTGGTGTATTCATCAAATCATGAATAGATAAATAAAATGTGTATATCCACACAATTGAATGTTACGGAATCATAAAAAAGAATGAAGTACAGAGATGTGTTAAAACCTGGATGAATCTTAAAAACACTATAGGCCATATACTGCATGATTCCATATTCATGAAATGTCCAGAATAGGCAAATCCATAAAAAGAAGGTAGAATAGTGGTTGCCAGGGGCTGAGGGGAAGGGGGAATTGGGAGTGATCACTGTTAGGCATTGTGTTTATTTTGGGGATGATGAAAATGTTCTGGAATTAAAAAAAAAATGTTCTGGAATTAGATAGTGGTGATGGTTGTATAGACTTGTGAATATGCCAAAAACTACTGAATTATATACTTTTAAGGGGTGATTTTATTGTATGCAAATTACATTCCCCCACCCCCCAAATAAAGGGGACAAACAAAAACTGAAGGAATTTATGGCCAGTAGACCTTCCCTGCATGAAATGATAAAACAAGTTCTTCAAGCAGAAGAAAAATTATATAGATCAAAAACTTAGATCTATATTAGTATAGGAAGAGCAGAAAAGAATGAATAAATAGAAGTAAAATATTTTGTTTTTCTTATTTTTAATTGGTCTAAAATATAACTGTTAGTTAAAGCAATAAGAGCAAAAATGTATGACTGATTATAGCACTTGAACCAGTGAAATGAATGACAGGAATATCACAGGGATGGGAAGGAGTTGGGAGTAATCTGCTATAAGGTGCCTGCTCCACCCATGAAGTGGCACAGTATTATTTGAAGGTGTACTTTTATTATTTTACATGTATAATCATATACTGGTCCACAAAGAAAGCCTCATGAAATTTCAAAGAATAAGTATCACACAGACTATGATCTCTGATCACAAGGCAATTGAGTTAGAGGTCAATGAGAAAATGAGTTAAAATTCCTGCATATTTGTAAATTTTAAAAAACAGTATTAAATACTCACAGATTCAAAAATCATAATGGATTTTTTTAATATTAGAAATTAAGAATGACAAACACTACATATCAAAACTAATGAAATGTACAAAAAGTATTTTGAAGGAAATGTTTAACCTAAAATACTTATATGAAACAGATGAATGCCTAAAACTGATAAGCTAACGTGAAATTTAAGAAAAGATCTGTGGGGAGGGATCCAAGATGGCTGATTAGGAGCAGCTCAGGATTGCAGCTCCAAGTGAAAGCACAGAGGATGAGTGGATGCCACATTTCCAGATGGATTTTTATTGCCCACAGACCACGAGGTTCCCATGCAGAGGAGCCACATGGGTCACCTGCACAGCCGGTTTAGCCGGCGGGGCTGTTTTCACTGGCATGGCTGTTTTGCCAGTGACCTGGCGCAGCAGTTCTGCATACAAAATACATGGGTCGGGGCGCCATTTTACCTGGCAATTGGAGCTTCTGGGACACAGAGTCGCACATTCATCTGATTTAAAAGGGGACTGAAACAGGAAGCCAGGCCAGGAGATTCCTGGGAAAAAAAGCGCCATGAATCTCAGTGCCGCCGTTTCAGATCCCGGCACGTTTTCAACAGGTGCCTGGAACACCTGTGAAACAGAGTCCAACCTTAAAAAAAAAAAAAAAAGGGGCTCTGAGGTAGGGAGCCAGGTGATCAGGCTCAACTGATCCCACCCCTACAAAAAAACAGCAATTGGAAATGCTCTGGATTCAGAGTTTCACAGCAAACAAAGCCCGGGAGGATCCATCTTTGTGGGGGAGGGGTGTCCGTGATTACTGAGGCAGTCCACCACTATGGAGGTGATTTGCCATTGCTGAGGCAGCCCGCCATTACAGAGAGAGTCCACTATTATAGAGGTGGGCTGCCATAGCCAAGGCAGTTCTAACTACACCCATATAAATGGGACTGCAGGGAAGTTCACACGGCAGCTGGGCGGAGCCCACAGCAGCTCAGCAAAGCCTCTGCAGGCAGACGGTGACTAGGCTGCCTCCTCACTGGGCAGGGCAGCCCTGAAAAAAGGCAGCAGCACAACAGAAACTCATAAATAAAGCCCTAACTCCCCAGGACAGAGCACCAGGGGAAAAAAAGGGGGGCGCTTTATGAGTTGCACTGCAGCAGACTTAAACACACCTGCCAAGCAGCTCTGAATGAAAAACGGAGCTCACAGCTCAGCATTTGAGCTCCTATAAAGGACAGACTGTCTCCTCAAGCAGCTCCCTGACCCCATATATCCAAAGAGTCACCTCATAAAGGAGAGCTCAGACTGATATCTGGTGGGTATCCTTCTGGGACAGAGATAGCAGAAGAAACTGGTAGCAACCCTTACTGTTCAGCAGCTGCTGCAGGTGATCCCCAGGCAAGCAGGGCCTGGAGTGGACCTCAGCAGTCCTACAGCAGAGGGGCCTGAATGTTAGAAGGAAAACTAAGAAACAGAAAGAAATAACATCATCATCAACAAACTGGACATCCACTCAGAGACCCAATCTCAAAGTCAACAACTACAAAGATGACAGGGACATAAATCCACAAAGATGAAATGAAACCAGCACAAAAAGGATGAAAACACCGGAAACCAGAACACTTATCCTCCTACAAGGGTTCAAAACTCCTCACCAGGAAGAAAACAAGGCTGTATGGAGAATGAGTGTGATGAATTGACAGAATCAGGTTTCAGAAGGTAGATAATAAGAAACTTCTGTGAGCTAAAAGAACATATTCTAATCCAATGCAAAGAAACTAAGAACGATGAAAAAAGATTTGATGAAATGCTAACGAGAATAAACAACTTAGGAATATAAGTGAATTGATGGAGCTGAAAAACACAACTTGAGAACTTCGTGAAGCATACACAAGTTTCAACAGTCGAATTGACCAAGCAGAAGAAAGGATATCAGAGATCGAAGATCAACTCAATGAAATAAAACAAGAAGGCAAGATTAGAGAATAAAGTGTAAAAAGGAATGAACAAAGTCTCCAAGAAATATGGCGCTATGTGAAAGACCTAATTTACGTTTGATAGGTGTACCTGAATGTGACAGAGATATGAATCCAAGCTGGAAAATACTCTTCAGGGTATTATCCAGGAAAACTTCCCCAACCTAGCACGGCAGGCCAATATTCAGGTCCAGGAAATACAGAGACCACCATAAAGATATTCCTCAAGAAGAGCAACCCAAAGGCACATAATTGTCAGATTCACCAGGGTTGAAATGAAGGAGAAAATGCTAATGGCAGCCAGAGAGAAAGGTCGGGTTACCCACAAAGGGAAGCCCATCAGACTCACAGCAGATCTCTCAGCAGAAACCCTACAAGCCAGAAGAGAGCGGGGGCCAATATTCAACATCCTCAAAGAAAAGAACTTTCAACCCAGAATTTCACATGCAGCCAAACAAAGCTTCATAAGTGAAGGAAAAATAAAATCCTTTGTGAACAAGAAAGTACTCAGAGATTTCATCACCACCAGGCCTGTTTTACAAGAGTTCCTGAAAGAGGCACTACACACAGAAAGGAACAACCAGTATCAGCCACTCCAAAAACATACAAAACGGTAAAGAGCATCGACACAATGAAGAAACTGCATCAACTAACGGGAATAACAGCCAGCTAGCATCAAAATGGCAGTATCAAATTCATACATAACAATATTAACCCTAAATGTAAATGGACTAAATGCCCCAATCAAAAGACACAGACTGGCAAACTGGATAAAAAGTCAAAACTCACTGGTGTGCTGTATCCAGGAAATCCATCAAACATGCAAGATACACAAAGGCTCAAAATAAAGGGATGGAGGAAGATTTACCAAGCAAATGGAGAGCAAAAAAAACAGGAGTTGTAATTCTCGTCTCTGATGAAATAGACTGTAAAGCAACAAAGATCAAAAGAGACAAAGAAGGACATTACATAATGGTAAAAGGATCAATGCAACAAGAAGAGCTAATGATCTTAAATATATATGCACCCAATACAGGAGCACCCAGATACATAAGGCAAGTTCTTAATGACTTACAAAGAGACTTAGACTCCCACACAATAATAGTGGGAGACTTTAACACCCCATTGTCAATATTAGACAGATCAATGAGACAGGAAATTAACAAGGATATCCAGGACATGAACTCAGGCCTAGACCAAGCAAACCTCATAGACATTTATAGAACTCTCCACCCCAAATCCACAGAATATACATTCTTCTCAGCACCACATCACACCTACTCTAAAATTGACCACATAATTGGAAGGAAATCACCCCTCAGCAAATGCAAAAGAATGGAAATCATAACAAACAATCTCTCAGACCACAGTGCAATCAAGTTATAACTCAGAATTCAGAAACGAACTCAGAACTGCACAGCTAGTGGAAACTGAACAACTTGCTCTTGAATGTTGACTGGATAAACAATGAAATGAAAGCAGAAATAAAGATGTTCTTCGAAACCAATGAGAATGAAGACACAAC